GTCCTGAGGGGCATGGCCAGGCAGAGGCCTGGAGCTCTCGGGGGCCTCTGGGGAATGTGGTGCCATTCCCAGGGTCAAGAGTGCAGGCCTCACATCCCTCCTGCCTGAGCTGGAATCCCAGCTTCCTTGCTAAAGTAGGTTTCACCAGTTCCCTCCCCTACCTATCTCAGCAGAAGGTCGAGAGCTGGAGGACACAGCACACGGCACAGGTGCATGCCAGCCCTTGTGGGGGCTGCAGATCAGAATCTGATTAGAGAATCTGGTGGGAGATTCCTTGAGTTCAACTCCCAGAACTGGACTTGGGCATGGTTTGGCGACCCAAAAAGAGAGCCCAGCTTGTTCTTGTTCTGGGAAAGCACAAATCTCAGGCCATGGCCATAATCTCTGGTCCCTAGGTACCCTCAGGCAGTGAGGAGGTCACCCCAAATGCCTGGTATGGACTGTTTCTTAAGAGGGGGGTCTTTACCCTGGAAGATTGAGTCATGGAGGGAAATGACGAGATCAACACCAGGGCACTAATGTTTCTGTGTTGAGTTTACAAGCAATCTCTGATTGATATATTATGTAACTGTAAGAGAATTTGGCGTTGTAGAGTATCAGATACATCTGATTCCTGTATAAAGTATGTAGTAGCATATTTGATTTTGATAGTGGTTTTATGTTGGAAGGAATAAGGTTTCCCAAAGTTTGTGATCATAATTGGAATATTAAGAATTTACAAGTCTAAGAGAAATGCCTACTTTTGATACATCTATAGGAATTTTTAAGTACTGTACTTGAATAACTTAAGTGCTAAAAAATAAATTTAGATTCTACATGTGTAAATGCAATTTAAAATGTTTTAAGGGGATTTCAGCTTAAAAATGGGGCCATACACAACTGAACAAAACAGTAGCTTAAAAATAAGGTTTATAAATAAGATGAGTAATTTGAATTTCACAGCCTAAGGAGCAGCTACGGTTTTCTATTTGTAACTTTAATATAGTGAAGATGTGATGGTGAAAAACAAAGTCACAACAAACCAGTTGTGCTCAAAAGTTGCCTTCCAGGCCTCTCTGAACCTCACTTGACACTGAACTTGTGTGAGCAACCCAGGCTTCCTCACAAATAGTGCCTCCCCTCTGGCTGTGAACATCCCCAGCTTAGAGACCAGACTGGCATCTCCGTGGTTCCAGTGCCACACAGCTAAATGCAGATTCCTGGGCCTCACATCAGCCTGAATCTGTGGATGAGGCCTGAGAATCTGCTTTTTAACTACTCCAAACAACCAGTGTGTCCAAGCTTCAAATACTGTCAACGAGGTCTTCCGGCTACATTCTGCAAAAAATACACTTAAGCAGATTCTTAATTCCCCAGGGGGTCCAGAGAGCCTTCTCAGCATTGGCTGAACCTTACCTCCCCTGGTGGGCCCCCCATCCAGGGGCAGCCTGAGTCTCCAAGGGAGGGGGAGCCGGGAGCCACAGTGTGAACAAAAGCCCTCAGCTCTCAAGGGCATGTCAGTTAGCTGTTGGCTTTAGCATAAACCTCCTCAAAGCTCAGTGCCATAAACAAAATAGGCATTTGTTGTGCAGGAATCTACAAGTTAGTTGGGGGGTGGGGTCATGGTGGTCTGGGCTTGGCTGGCCTCACACCGGGTGGGCTGGTTTGCTGGCGGCCTCTGCTGGCTTTCTTGCGCATAGCATCTCACCCCAGCAGGCCACCCTGGACCTGCACTGGGGCTGGCCCATGCCAAGAGAACAAAAGGGAGCGTCAAGGCCACTTGAGGCCCAGGCTTCAAACCAGCAAACAGCCAACACTGCTGTACCCTATTAACCAAAGCCAGCCAGCCCGAGCTCTAGAGCTGGGGAAATAAGACTGCCTCTTGTTGGGGACACAAGGCAAGGAACATGAATATAGGGAGACATCAGCCATCACTCTACCACACAAGGCCTGCTCCTACCCAGGTTTGTTATGGAGGAGAACCCTCGGGTGCTCCCAAGGCAGCTCTGAGCAGCTGCTCAGTCCAGGCTGGCAGGTAGGGACCTTGTGAACTGTCAAGCAGCTTCACTGTCAACGCTGTGAGTTTGTTAGGCCACCACCTCTGCCCTCTGCTCCAGAGGACAGTCCTGTAGATGAAAGGTAATTCCTTCTGCCGCGAACCTTATGCCATTGTAGGAACTGGCTCAGAAGAACATGTTCAATTCAGGCCTGGGACAGGAATAGATGTTTCAACAAGACTTTGAGGACAAGGAGGTTTTGTTTCTTCCCTAAGAAAGCCACTAGGAGATAGATGGCCTTTTGGGATGTGAGACTACAACTACCACCAGCTTGGAGACAGAGCTGGATCAAGCATGTCCTGAAGCTCACTCTGCTTTTGGATTACTGGTTATGGGAGCTAATAATCCTCTTTTGAAACCTTCAGAGCACCTAAGGGACTCTGGACAGATTATCATCAATGTATTCCCACTATATCAAATGAAATGTGTTTGAATCACACAACACAATATTAAGAAATGTCATGTTTATTTCTTAAAGTGAAATTTAACCTGTTCCCACCTCTAATTTGTCAAGGAGGTGAGAAATTCCTCTTTTTACCAACCTGAGTTGTGGGAAAGTCCTGGGATTCTGACAGGGCTCCGAATGTTGGGATAGAACTCTGGTCTTTAGGCTTGCCACTTCCAACATTCCTGCCTTCCTGATCTGAATGTGGCCTGAATCTGAATCAGCACGCCCTTGAGGTTCCATCTCCTCTGCAGACTCAAGAATGATGTGGGGGGAATGTCTCTTCTGGACATCTATGCCCCTGGCGGTTCCAGCCTCTCCCTTGCTGCCCTCCACCCCATGGGCTTACCCATACCCTCTCCTTCCTGAGAGCTGCATCTCCCCTGTGCTTTAGTCATGCGGCTGTCATTAAACCAGCCTGCCCTCAAAGCCACTCCCTCTCCAGCCCGATGCTGGGTCCCAGGATTCAGGTGAGGGAATGAG